CAGAAACTAAAGTCAGAATAAACAGTAATATGAGAACTGAAGAAGTAATTGAGCAACTTCTCCAAAAATTTAAGGTAATCTTTATCACTAAACTGAGCTATAACTGTCTTGTATATAAGTTAACTATAGGTACATAAATGTACTCTTCTGAAAAAGACCTATGAACATGTACATCTAAATTAAATGGTTCGTTTCCGAAGAATTCTTTCTTACGAATAACACCTTTTCATAATTGGGCCTTGAGAGATTATATTATTCTCTCAACAGGGAGCAGAAAAGGATTCTTGTCTAAAAGTGTATAACAAAACTGAGGAAAAAGATACAGATTTGGGGTCTGGCTGGCTCAGAAAACATCTGCCAATGACCAATCAATCAAATATGAAAGAATTCATGTCTGCTTATTTTTTTTTCCATTGACAGATTGAAAATAGTGCCCAGGATTTCGCACTTTACATTATTTTTGCAACAGGAGGTAAGCGTGATCCCTCTTTTTACACGATTCCAGTATGTTATAGTTTTCTGCCCACAGGGGAGGCCCAAGAGCAGCTAACCCTCTTTCTGTGGAAGAAAGGGAAGGAAGGGAAGAAGAAGAAAAGTGGGGAGGGTATTTTAGAAGGTTATTCATATTGCACAGTTTCAGAGGAAGATAACCTACGAATAAGATATCCTAGAAGAGTTTATAATACAAAAGAGTTTGCTTTTTGGCCAGACATCAAATTTCCTGAATGGCAGTCAGTGCCTGGGAGAGTCTATGGAGAGTTCCAAAGAATTGTTACACACTGAAGTCCTTGACTTCTGGACCTCTTTCTTTTTGGCTTTCCCTTCTCCTTCTAGCTCTTACTGCAGTCATCAATGCATACCATTTGTCTCTGATCTTGTTATTACCTCTTTCTTACACAGTGTCTGACACACTGTAGGAGCGTTCTCTCTTCCTCAGTAGAGAAAAATATGCAGAAGTTGGTGGTAGGGAGTAAAAGATTAGCATTGGGAAGAGGCTTTATGTGGGGTGCTGGGAACAGGATGGAAGAGAGATTAGAGAAAAATCTAAGGCAATAGTGAAATGATCTTTTTGAAAACTCTTAAGTTGAAAAAAATTATATATTAAATTGTAGAAATATCTCCAGTTAGAGTTTAAGTGTCAGAATGTTTGAGCTGGAAATTGAACAGAATAAAATAATACATTTTGATACCAGGACAACTGTAAGAAAATGGAAGTCGGATCTTCAAACATATACAAAATTAAAGTCCTTATTAATTTAAAGCTTAAATGTAAGAAATATAATATAAAGTGTAAAAATTCTAAGGGTGTGTGTATATATTCATATTCTAATTGTTTCGGAAAAAACTAAAAGGTATAAAATAAAAAGCAGAGACAAGGGCGCCTGGGTGGCTCCATTGGTTAAGCGTCCGACTTCAGCTCTAGTCATGATCTCATAGCTCATGGGTTCGAGCCCCACGTCAGGCTCTGTGCTGACAGCTCAGAGCCTGGAGTCTGCTTCAGATTCTGTGTCTCCCTCTCTCCTCTGACCCTCCCCCACTCACACTCTGTCTCTCTCTCAAAAATAAATAAAATGTTTAAAATTTTTAAATAAATAAAAAGCAGAGACAAACTTATAAAAATGTAAAAGATAGAAACAGCAAATTACGAAAAATATCAGATAAAAATTTAATACGTATAATATCAAATAGTTCTTGCAAAGTGACAACAAAAAGACAACTCAATGAAAATAGAACCCACAACGCAATATTATCTCACATTTATCGGATTGGCGAAATGTTTTTGAAGGATTCTACCTATGTGTGGTGTGGTGAAGGGTAAAAGGGTATTTTCATGCAGTTTTGGTGAAAATATGGCTGTCTTTACTTTTTCGGAACTCATTCTAACAATATTATTAAAATTTACAGTATAAGTACCCTTTAACCTGGCAATGCCACAGCTGAGAATCTATTCCACAAAACTAAAAGGACTAGTACCTATAGATTTATGTGCAAGGCTACTTATAATGACAAAAATTTAAAGACAAAGTCACCCAGCACAGAAGAATGATTGAATAAGTGGTTATGCAGCCATTGAATGGAATGTGTCAGATTATACCAGTTAAATTGAGGGGATTCCATAATATATATTACATGAAAGATGCAACATGACTAAAAATGTATATCATATGATCCCATTTTTCTAGAGGAATTACAAACCCCTATTTAAATATAGGGGTATATATGATCATATGATCAGGAAGAAAGGTATGAAATGATAAATATGAAGTCACTGACACCACTTACCCCGTTAGGGGGTCAGGACAATGCAAGAAAGAGGATGGAAGGAGGAGCACAGAAGGAAAAACAAAAACAACAAGTAAATCATTTTTTTTTAAATATGTCTGCGATAAAAACAGCAAGTATGACATGACCACCTGTACGTATTGTGTGTTTGTGTGTGTGCATAAAGAGATATACGAAGGGTTGGCCACACAGAGGGTAAGGCTGATTGTCTCAGGGTTCTGGGATTCCAGGTGATTTTTACTTTCTGCCTTTTGCTTTTCCCCATAGTTTCAATTACAGTAGCATACGTGGTTTTTTAAGACTTTACTGGGGAAGGGGCACCCAGGTGGCTCAGTCAGTTACGTGTCCCTCCGACTCCTGCTCAGGTCTTGATCTAGCGGTTTTTGAGTTTGAGCCCCACGTCGCACTCCCTCTGACACGTTGGAGCCTGCTTCGGATTATGTGTCTCCCTCTCTCCACCCCCTCCCCGCTTGCTCTCTGTCTGTCTGTCTCTCTCAAAAATAAAACATCAAAAAAATTTTTTAAAAAACTTTATTGAGGAATAATCGGGAATAATTGACAAATATAATTGCTATATTGAAAGTACAATGTGATGATCTGATACACATATACATTATGGGATGATTACCAAGATCAAGATAATTAACATATCCTCACATCACATAATTAAGGCTTTTTGGGTATGTGTGAGAATGCTTACGATCTACTCTCAGCAACTATCAAATGTACAATACCATACTATTAACTCTGGTCACCAAGCTGGAGATTAAATCCTCAGAACTTATTTACATAATAACTGAAAATTTGTACATACATCCCCCTCGTGTCTCTCCCTGATAGCGTGAATTATTTTTATAATTAGAAAAAAAATGTTTATTTTCACCACAGAACTGTAGTTCGTTAAAACTTTATCTGTGAAAATCATGTTTCATTTTGTTTTTCGTGTCAAAAATGCTTGCACACAAAATCCAGAACAGAAGATAACCCTAAGTAGCACCTTTTAGGGATCAGGAACAGAGAGAAGAATGGAACCTATAGCACCTATTTAGGTATTAATCTGGAAAATAAAGGCAGGTGCATTTTAACACCTCGCATCTACTAAGCCCAGGATCTATAACAGTGTTTTTCAAATTCTAGTGCACTTCAGGATTACCTGAGAAGTTCATTTAAAATACAGACTCCCAAACCCATCCAGATCTAGGAACAGTCTGGGAATATGTATTTCTTAATAATTATCCCAGAAGCAAATTCATGAAGCAAGAAACCTTGCTCTGGAATATTAAGAACACAACAAACAGCGGAGGCAGTTATACCACATGTAGAGGTCAGAAGAGGATTCTAGTATGTTAAGATGAGCTAAATTACCGGGGCTGTAGCCTTGCCTCAGAAATGCAGAGGAATTAAAACAATGAACTCTGACTCTGTGGAAACAAGAACGGATAACATTACTGACTTTTTCCTGGGGTAAGTCCCACCCAGGAGATGAGCACAGTTCTGATTCTTGAAACTTTTAAGTGCCTGACATAATTGATTTCCTAGATGACAGCGTAGAAAGGACTAACCGGTCTACCCGTTTCCCTTTTCAGTCTCTTTCAACATAGCAGACAGATTGTTCTTTTTTTTCCTTATAATTTATTGTCAGATTGGCTTAAATACAACACCCAGTGCTCATCCCAACAAGTGCCTCAATGCCCCTCACCCATTTTCCCCTCTCCCCCACCCACCCAGGCAGATTGTTCTTTAACAACAGAAGTCAGACAATGTCATATCACTTCTCATCCTCCAGGGGTCTCCCTTCCCGCAAGAAAGCCAAAGTCTTTATGCTGGTCCCAGTACGTGTCCACTTCAACATTTAATATTCCTTTCCTCATCTTTATGTTAGCTTCCCTGGTCCCTTGCTGCTCTTTGATAGCATTAGGCATGCACTGACCTGTAGGATGCTCTACTTATCTACTTACTGTGTTTGGAACACACCTCCCCGAGAGCTCCATGGTTCCATACCACATCTGCTTCTGGTTGTTTTCAAATGTTACATCTTCAGTGAAGCCTTTCTCGGCCACCCTACCAATAATTGCATACTTGTCCCCTGTACACACCTATTTACACAGACCCATACTTTCTATCCCTCTCCTTGCTTTATTTTTCTTCTGAGTACTTATCACTAATACATGATATGTTTCATTGGTTTATCCTCCTTGTTGTCTGTGTCCTCCACTAGAACGTAAGTTTCGTAAGTGGATTTTACTCTGCTTTGTTTTAGAAGGTGCCCAGCACAGAGAACAATGCCTGACACATAGTAGGAACTCAAAAAATATTTGAGAAAGGAGGAAAGGAGATGAATGTAAGGACACAGTGTTCTGTTCGTGCTTCATTCTGATAAAAATGAAATGACAGATGTGAAATTATTTTGACAGAAAGTTGGAAGTGCTTTTGTGAGTGGGAGTATTTATAACTTTTGGAAATTTGAAATTCTTGGCATATACCAAATTGGAAGTTATTTCCTTTCTCATCTCATTATCATGGCATGGATGAAGCCCACAGATGAATGAAATAATAAAAACACTGACCTGTGATGTGAAAGACATTCTCAACATGTTTTTAAGGAAGACCCAAGGATTTGATTGAGATGAGAAACAAAGGAATAATTGAGGATAATTATAAAGTTTTGGACCTAAACAACTGGAAAGATGGAAATACATTAACTGAACTAGGAAAGAATTAATAAATATTTGCTGAATGAATGAATGACAAATGATGAAGAATTTTTAGGTGTGTCACTTGGTAAAAGCATAAATGGCACTGGAGATTTGTCTGAACATCCAAGCTAAAGGCAAGATTGAATTATCTGAGATATAAATCAAACCTTAAGATCTAGCAAGACAAAGAAGTTCTCCTTGGGTTCTTTTAAAGGTTTTACTTTCGATTTACTCCTTTGAATGAGTGCCTCCTGTTGTATGTTCTTCTTAGGTCTTCTCCCCACGTGAGCTAAAGAAACAAAATGAGTGGACAACTTGTCTTTCTTCTTTTTCTCTACGATGGACTGCTAACTATAGTTGATTCCTGTTTTCATTTGTAGAGCGGAGGCGGCTAAAGAAGACAGATGTCCCGCTACTGCATAGGCTCGTGCAGGGACCTTCCAAAGAGAATGCTCGCATTTTCCTCATGGACAAAGATGAAAAAGAAATTAGCAGTGATGTATGGATACTGTCACCCTGAATCTCTCTTTGCTTCCTCCTGACCCAGCACCTCTCACAGAATCTGCATTCTTTTTTGTTTTGTTTTGTTTTGTTTCCCTTTTCAGGTGGCTCAGTACATTAACTTTCATTTCCCTCTCCTGGAATCCATCCTTCAAAGATTAAATGAAGAAGAGAAAAGAGAGATTCAAAGAACAATAACAAAGTAAGTTGGGAGTATGTATGCTGGGTGCCTATTCCTATAAGAGGTTCAGCACACAAATTGTGTTCAATTTTTAATACCCTTTTTCTCCTTCTCCTTTTCAGATTCAGTACAGAAAAGGCTATTATAATGAAATGTCTCCAAAGTAAACGGGTAGTAAAAACTGAGACAACCGTTTAGCAGACCAGGCTGTAATTGCTGGAACTCTGAAACACTTCAGCAAAATTAGAGGGATATTACTATTTGATGAATGCACAAATTCCATACTTGCATTCATACAAATGTCTGTGAACTTGAATCTGTGGAAAATTGAATGTTGAAAAAGCTTGTCTCTCTTTGAAGTGATGAGTTGATCTAGGCTTCACAGTTGCACTGAAAGGAGCTGGAATTTGTTTCAGGAACTGAAACAAGCTTGGATACTGTGTATCCAAAATACTTTCTTATAGTAAAACACTCCATGAACTTGAATCTAAATGATGTCTTCAGATATCATGTAGGGTAAACTTCTTTCAGCTTGAACTGTCAAGAGAATTAAAAAATCATCAACGGATTCTCAGAACTGATTCAGGAGTAAAAGCTGCCAGCTCTTGAAATAAAAAGGAAGCACACTCTTACCCTACAAAGGAGTCTGATAGTGAGTGATCATGTTTCTCAGCTCCGTGCAAACTCTAGCTTCTTCATGAAACCCAGGGCTGTCTCTATATGGTTGGTGGCTTTCGGCTATTTGTAACATCAGAGCTATCTGTCCTTTGGGATAGAAAAGATGGTTGGATTTCTGTTAAGAAATCCAAATTGCAATTTCCTCAACCCGAACCCTTCTTTTTTTTTTTTTTCTGTTCTTCTCATGACTTTCAAAAAGTATTTTTAAGCAATTTTTTTTTTTTTTTTAGAGAGAGAGAGAGAAAGTAGGGGGGAGGGGCAGAGGGAGAGGGAGAAAGAGAATCTCAAGCAGACTCCACAGTCAGCACAAAGCCTGGTGTGGGCCTCCAGCTCATGACCCTGAGATCATGATCTGAGCCAAAATCAAGAGTCAGACACTTAACTGACTGAGCCACCCAGGTGCCCTGAGTTCTTAAGCATTTTAAAAAAGTCAGTTAAACTGGTTTTCATTATTTTTCCAAACAAGTATACCACAGAGACTTAATACGTTTAATGGGCTAGGACAAGAGTTGATCCACAATAACCATTTGTTGCCAGATGAAAACAAAGGATAACACAACTTGTAGCAAAAAATAGGCAGGGATTCTGGAGCTCTGCTCTTTTTCTCCAAGACAACTCATCCCACAACTCCCAAGATACTTAAAAGTCTGCTAAAACTGACTTGAAGAAAGGGGGGACAAAAAACTGGTAATGCCACAAGTATCATCTATGATATTATTTGTGAACTCTATGTTAAAATGGAATTTTATGCAACATTGGTCCATTCCCTAAACCACTTTCATTCACATTCCTCACAGGCATTGTGTTACCTGGTTTGATTACATTACATGTACTAAGGGAAAAGGTTGTATGTAACAAGCCCAAGTTCGAAGACTATCAAAATTAAAATACGAAACATTTTTAGACAAAGCTATTACTTCCTAGTGTCACCAAAACCGAAACCTAAACTCAATGAAGGTAAAAGTGTGCTGTGACCTTTGAGTCCTAGGAAATCTTTTATTGAGGAAAACAGAGGCTTGCATCATTATCTTTCCAGCTATCAGTTAATAAGAAATTATGTTCTCAGGGTGCCTGGGTGGCTCAGTCGATTGGGCATCTGACTCTTGGTTTCAGCTCAGGTCATGATCTCACAGTTCATGAGTTCAGACCCTGCTTGGGATCCTCTCTCTCTCCCTCTCTCTCTGTCCCTCTCCTGCTCACATACCCCGTCTCTCTCAAAATAAATAAACTTAAAAAAAAAAAGAAAAGAAAAATATCTCATCTTCCTAAAGTAGGGCAAAAGAAATTGTTAAAATTCAGAAAAAGTCTCATCTTGCTAAAAAAGTAGGGCAAATGAAATTGTTAAAATTCAGAAAAAGGTCTCATCTTGCTAAAGTAGGGCAAATTAAATTGTTAAAATTCAGTATACTTATAAAAATTTAAATCAGTGTCAAGTACCTGTCCTAAATGACAAAAGATTAATCATCAATATACTGAAAGTCTACAAGATCTGTAAGAAAAATTCCAAGACATGGATAGAAAAAAAGAAAAAACACATGAAAAGTAAAATCACAGAAGAAATACAAAGAGCTACTAGGTGTGTTGTGAGAGGAAAGTTGTATCTTAATGGTGATCAACTGTATCCAGTAAGGAGACAGAAACACAGTGATTTAAGCAGGAGAAGTTTAATATAAAGAATTAAGCTGTGGGGGGTCTGGGTCGCTCAGCGGGTTAATCGTCTGGCTCTTGATTTTGGCTCAGGTCATGATCTCATGGTATGTGAGATCGAGCCCCGCCATCAGTGCTGAGCCTGCCTGGAATTCTCTGCCCCGCCCCCACGTCTCTTTCTCTCTCAAAATAAATAAATGGCCTTTTTTTTTTTTTTTTTTTTTTTTTTTTTTTTTTTTTTTTTTTTTAATTAAGCTGTGATGATAGGAGAATAACTGTAAAGCAGAAGTGTGTGTGCCAGGATTGGGAGCTATAGGGGCCTCCTTTGCAGGAACCCAGTACAACTCTGTGCATCAGTTGGGCTGCAGTATCTTTGAAGCTGTGTGGGACAGAGGCTGGTCAGGTAGCTTACTAGATGGCCACCTCTGGGGGCCCTCTCTGTGAGCAGGCACTGAATCCAGGGGGTGGTGCGGAGAGCAGCGATTTGTGTTCAGGTACAGATGTGTGCTCAGCTCCAGGCTGTGCCACCACAAACCAAATCGAAAGATGGAGGAGTTGGGGATACAAGCGGTAAAGAAAGCTGCACCCTACAGGCAAACTGCCCTGGAGAAAGCACTCTGGGCAAAGCAGTGGAGGAAAAAAGGGGGCTTCCCCAAAGCCTTGTCAGTCAGCCCTGGGAATCTGGAAAGACCAAATTTCCCGCTACAATGCTTCTTCAGCGCCCTCTACCGACGAAGCAAGGCATCATGCACAATGCAAAGGAAACACACTTAAAGGGTCCATATCCATTTTCACAGAACCAAGAGCTAAGAACAAATTTGGAGGAGAGAGTTAATAAAATAATTCTAAAGGGTCCGTATCAGTTTTCAAAGAACCAACAGCTAAGGATGAATTTGGAGCACAGAGTCAACAAAATAACTCGGATGTCATCAAAACACAAAGTTAAGAAAAGCAAAATGCACTTTTTGTTCTATTGGAAAAGATTAAGAAATGAGATTAAATACTCAGCAAATTACAATCAGATGGCCACTGAGATTACTGGTGGAAATACAAGTGGATATAACTTTTCTTGAAAGCAGTTCAGCAGTAAGTTCATCCTATAATTCAGCTTAGAGGATCCTATATTGAAATAATCAGTCATACAAAGCCATTGTGCAAAGATACTTATTATATTGCTATTGTGATAAAAATAATTAAATAGCCTAAATTTTCAAAATTATGGAAAAAAACAGAAGGAAAAAAACATTTACCCACAGAATATTATGCAGCTATTAGAATTATGTTTCCAAATAAATTGTAATTATGGAAGAAATTCTTCTTACATATCCGATATCTAAATAAGAATATACATACAGATATTCAAAATATCTATTATCCATAAAATATGTTTGTGTGTGTGTACACTAACCAAAAACACATTAGATGTGGCTATATCTGAATTGTAGAATTATGGGTGAATCATTTCTTATTTTTCTATGCTTATTAAATAGCCTATAATAAACACGTGTTACTTTTTGAATTAAGGCATAGATAAGTTATGATTAGAAAGTTACCAACAAGAAGTAGCAAGTATATGCAAGCACAGAGTCCTACCAGATGCAGAAAAATAAAATTATTTAATAAGACATTAACTTCGCTTCTGTGGTAGTTTTAAAATATATTCATAAAGTCTTTGATATTCCTCCTTTCAAGAGGTGGGGCCTAATCCTTCCCACCTTGCAAATGGACTGGACCTAGTGACTCAATCCTGATGAGCAGAGGACAGCAGAAGTGACAGTGTGCGATTTGGGCAACTAGGTCATATAACGCTGTGGCGTCCTTCTCGCTCATTCTCCTGGGTCACTGGCTCTGGGGGAAGCCGACTACCATGGCGAGAGCAGCCCCAGAGAAAGATTTGCATCATGGGAACGGAGACCTTTGCCAGAGCCAGCAACAACTGAGGCCTCCTGTCCACAGCCAGATGAGTGGGCCATGGGCTGGTCCCGGTCAAGCCTTCAGATGACACAGCCCTAACAGTTTGACTACAGCCTCCTGAGACACCCTGAGCCAGAAAACCCAGCTAACCCACTCCTGGATTCCTGATCTTTGGAAAATGTATGAGAAAATAAATGGTTGTTGTAGTATGCCAAATTTTAGGATAATTTGTTACATGGCAATACAATTTCAGAGAGAAAAATCTGTTCGGAGGCATCTTTGCATAATACAAGAGTATAAACTTTTGTCATAAAACTCTTTATCCTTGCTTCAGGTGGCTCAGGTTTTTTACTACCAGTTACATATTAGTTCAAATTCAACCCCAGTAATGTTATACTTATTAATGGTAGAGGACCTGTTACATTCATCTTTGTATACTTGGCTGAATTTAATGCTGTGTTTTGTATATAGGATGTGCTTAATAAAAATCAGTTGAATAAAAGACTTAATGAATTAGTGAATCAGTGAACAAAAGAATGTGCAAATGAGTTATATGAAATGTTTTTCTAAAAGCTCCTGTATATATGCATCCTTTTCACAAATCGGACCCAGTAGCTAAAGAAATATAGAATCTTTTCTGTATGGTTTTCTCTGATTTGGTGGTATATTTTACTATCTCTCGGCTATATGAAATGTTCAGTTAGGCAGTGTTGCTATGGAATTTTGCTTAGGGCCGTTCACATTGGTTTCAGGAACTGAACGGGGAAGAAGTCCATTTTCAAGGCAGTCTATGAGGTGGACAAGATGGCAGGTGTAACTGTCATGTTGTTATAGCTACACGGGAAAGGAAAGAAAGGAATAGGATGCATTAGAACAAAACCCTTCAATGGCATCCATTTGTCCTTTTTTCTTCTTTTCTTTTTTCTTTCTCTTTTTTCTTTTCTTTTTCATTTGTCTTC